CTCTCTCTCTCTCTCTCTCTCCTCCTTTCCTTCCACTCTCTCTAAAAAGCAATGGGAAAAATATCCTCTAGTGAGGATTAACAAAAATAATAAAATAAAACAAATGAAAATAAATAGATCTTATCTTTTGGGAATACATATTGACATACTTATCAATGAAATAATGTGGTATCTGTGATTTGCTTCACAATAATCCAGAGAGGAAGTAGGAAGCGGTACCGGTTTAGATGAACGAAGATTGACCGCGAGTTGCTGATTGTTTTAGCCACATGACTGATACACAGGGGTGCATTGTTACACAGTTAAAAGATCTTACCTTGAGAACATGATGCTAGAAAGTCAGAAAAAGCTAAGAGCTGTATGATTTCACTCTTAAGTGGGATATAAAACTGAAACTCATGGACACAAACAGCAATGTGGGGATGGTCAGACAGAAGGGGTTGGGGGGAGAAGGGAGTGACAGGAGAAGATGTGACTGTGAGTGGTGGGCATAGAGTGCAATATACAGGCTTATAACGTAGAAACCCACACCTGAACTCTACATATTCATGTTAATCAATGTCACCCCAATAAATTTAATATAAAATAAAATAGAGTTTCATTAAAGTTAAAAATGTATTTATAATAAAAAAACTTTTAAAATGAAAAAACAACACTAAGATGTGGGAATATTAAAATCCAGGTATCTTCCCTGTAGATTCCTGATGGGTGTTTAAATTGGAAAAACTTTTATGGTAGGCAATATGACACTATCTAAATAAAAATGCACAAACCCTTTAACTCAGAAAATCACTTCTAAAAATGCAATCTTTGTACTCACTGTGTATCATAGAACACATACACATGCACATACACATATATCTATCGATATATATGAATCCTCATTGCAGCCTTCTTTGTAAAAGGAAAAGATTAGTAGTAACCTAAATGTCCTCAACAGGGTACTAGCTAAATAAGTCAGGGTAAATTCACTGAATGGAATACTCCATAGTCATTTTTTTAAATGAGGATGCTCTTTACATACTCATTTACATACCGATCTGAAACTATCTCCAAAGTGCAGTGCTGTCTGTATAGTATGCAACTATATAAAAAGGAATATATAGTCCTGGCTGGTTAGAGCATCCACCCATGGACTGAAGGGTCGTGGGTTCGATTCCTGGTCAAGGGCACATTCCTCAGTTGAAGGTTCCTCCACATGTGGGAGGCAACCAATGGATGTATCTCTCTCACGTTGATGTTTCTCTTTCTCTCCCTCTTCCCTCCCTTCCACTTTCTCTAGAAATCAGTGAGGATTAAAAAGTATATACAGCTGGCACCGGTTTGGCTCAGTGGTAGAGCGTCAGTCTGCAGACTGAAGGGTCTTGGGTTCAATTCTGGTCAAGGGCATGTACCTTGGTTGCGGGCACATCCCCAGTAGGGGATCATCGACCAGCAAGAGGCAGCTGGTCGATGATTCTCTCTCATCGACATTTCTGGCTCTCTATCCCTCTCTCTTCCTCTCTGTGAAAAATCAATAAAAAAATATATATATATATATTTTTTAAAAAGTATATACATATATAATCTTGTATGCTTATATATGCATAAACTATTTCTAATGTATATGAAAAAGACATTCACTATCATTTAGGCCTCCAGGAAAGGGAAGTGGGTTTACAGGGGGAAGGGATAGGAACAGGACTTACATTTCAATGCTATTATAATATTTTGTATAAGTACCGCGCGCTAACCGATTGCGCCACTGGAGCTCCGCTTCAAGCTACTATTTTGTATCGTCTTAATTTTATTCCATGTACATGCATTACCCCTATAAAAAACACACAATCTAAATTTTAAAAGAAATAAAAATTAACATATTAAAAATATAAAGACTATATGGGAAAATATCTATAATATGTATGCTTTAAAGAGTATACAAAAATTTGCCCGCATGATAATTAAATATACATACAATATGTCTGCTCATGAACAACAACTAGATACACACACAAATGAAAGGGATGTTTTGTTATTTGGGAGTACAAATGCTGTTTTATAAAAAACTTATAGATCGATGTTACAACAGGATATGTTAATAACGAATGGTAAATTACAACTTGGTAAAAAGAAAAATCAGATTTAGATCATAAACATCTAATTTCCTTAGGGTTTTCAGAGAGAGGCTTTTTCCACGAAGCGAGGTGCACCTGGCCCCACTGCCAGAGCTGGTTCTGTTTGGTTTCCTGCGCGCCTCACCGAGGAACAAGACGCTGGGCGGGTCACTGCGGTTGGTGACACCCTCACACTCAGCACTGGTTCACCTGACCCTGGACAATCTGTCTATTTATGGAGACAAAGCTCTGCACAAACAAGAGGCTTTCTGGAGGCGGGAAAGCCAGAGTGTTCAACATCCTCCTTCAGATGTCAGCTTCCTTCCTGGAGCAAGGGCTCCCGTGGGAAACCGGAGGTGGGCTCTCTCCAGGCAGGAAGAGGAGTCAGCCAAACTCCGGCCTTCTGCTCTGCATCCTACCAGCCCTGCCAACGCATGCTCCACCTGTTCTTGGAGGCATGTCTCTTCCAGGATGCCTGCCCCACTCACCCTTCAGAAGCAGCTGTGGGAGCGTGGAGAGACCCAGATTGGGAGTCAGGGATTGACTTTGCCCCTAAGAGCATGACCTCATACAAGTCACTTAGCCTCAGTTTGTCTAGGGAACTGGACTGCATCACTGATTTTCCAACTGTGCCTGGAGCAAGCACCCAAGGGGGTGTGTGCACAGGTCAGAGAGGGGTGCAAAGTGAAGGAAGCAGTGGTATGCTACACTTATTATGGCCATTTCAGAAAATGTCTTCAACACGCAGATTGTTGCTTTAAAAAAAATAAAAGTGCCGAAACCAGTTTGACTCAGTAGATAGAGCATCAGCTTGCGGATTCGAACCTCAGTTTTCTCATCCATAAAATAATCCTACTATCTCACCATGCTGCCAGAGAGTAACTGAGATTGTCATGTTGTTTTATTCTAGGCCTCACGTTACTTTTCTGCCTACTATTTCTCAGTCTCTTTAGCCTGCTCCTCCTCAGATTGTATGTCACATTTATCAGTCCTCTGCCTTCTCTCTCCTTGGGCTCCCAAACATAACCCATCACTCACACATACCCGTGCTCCATATCCACACACCCAACTGATCCTCTCCACTTGTAACTCCCACAAGCATCTCAACCTTATCTAAACTTAAACTCTCTTCCTCTCCAAACTTGTTCCTTAACCACGGTTCTCCATCCCAGCAATACTTGTAGCATCCACTCAACTGCTTAAGCCAGCAACCGAGGGATATTTTCTACGCCAACACTCATGGATAACAGCAGCAGCACCCATCTTCCACCATGTCGCCTAGGAAACAGAAAACTAATGGAAGCAAGAAAAAATGAAGCAAACACACCAAGAAGCCTGGCAGAGATTAGGAGAGAAAAGATTATCAGGGTTCATAAAAGGATACATGCTCTAATTCTGTTATTGAGTCTTTGCCTAAATCAGTTGGAGATGGGTTTCTACATGTGCAAATACGAGAGACTTAATTAATATAAACATTGCCAACCAGAATAGGCGAGGTTATCCTGTGGTGATGAACAACCCCCACATTTTGGTGGCTTAATTCCACTACATATCCATCAGCAGCAGGTAACTCTTTCCTCGGAAAGAAGCCACCATCTTGAATGTTGCTGGTCACTGTTTCAGAAAGAAACTATAAGGGGTCTGAAACCAGCAATTCACTGTTCCAGTTCAGAGGTGGCATGTCACCTCCATTCCTAACTCATTGACCAGAACAAATTACCTGGCCACAAAGTACAATCCTGCCATGTACCTGAACTATTTGGTGAATTACCTTAATAGCTACCATGTAATTCCTGGGAGAAGCCAGTTGTTGGGTCACGAGGATATTTCAGTGGCCATTATGGAGTGGCCCACATGGTGAATAACAGGCTTCCTACCAACAGCTAGGACCAACCAACCGAGTGAGTGAACCACCTTGGAAGCTGATCCTTCAGCCCATCGAGCCTTCAGATGACAGCATCTTGACTACAACTCATGAGAGATCTTGATCCAGAACCACCCAGCTAAGTTTCCCCCAAATTCCTGACCTATAGACTATCTATGAGATAATGTCTAATGATTTTATGTTTTGGGGTAATGTGTTATACAACAATAAATAACTAATACACAGCTTTGTATAATTAAGAGATCTCATATAGGCAATCTTCTATCTTTGGGAAATGTTATCTTCCCCCAGACTTTGGCCTAGTTTAGGTTACCTAACTAAAAGTAGCTGTCAGGCTTGGGGAGTCTAACCCAGGCAGACAGGGTCCTATTTTTTAGAGGTTTTCCCTTTATTGAAGAAAGCACCACATCACATCACTTTCCCCTGGGTCAACCAGAGACATATGACTCATACACAATCAAAGGAACTGGAAGCCTAGAATTGCCCAATTAAATACAGTGTTGAGGAAGCAATAATTGAGAAATGACACTGTAAGCTTAGAAAGTGGTATTAATAATAGTGCTAATGCACTGTATTTATTTTTTAAATATATTTTTATTTCAGAGAGGAATGAAGGAGATAGAAACATCAATAATGAGAATCATTGATCAGCTGCCTCCTGCATGCCTCACACTGGGGATCCAGCCGGCAACCTGGGCATATGCCCTGGTCAGGAATTGAACCATCACCTCCTGGTTCACAGGTCAACCCTCAACCACTGAGCCACGCAGGCTGGGCTAATACATTGTACTGAATAAGCATGTGTTACTTTTCAAGTTTCCACTTCTATATCTGAGGTAGGTGGGGAAGTTATAAATAAACCAGGTTACATATGAAAACAATGGCTAAGAGCTCCTGATTGGCCCACAGTCTCATGGTGAGTGAATGACAGGACAACATCCAGAATCTGGGTTTCCGTGTCCCCACGTCGGGCTTGGTGCTTTCCAAGGCAGGAACCTCCGGGCTGGTAACATGAATGCCTTTCAGTCAGAACTGTCCTCTGAGATCAAGGTGCACTTGTAGGTCTCCTTGAAGGCCTCCAGGAAAGGCGGTATGACTTCGTCCACCGTGAGGTGCCTCTGGAGCTCCTTGCTCAGGGAAGTGACGCTTGTCCCAACCAGCCCACAGGGTACAATGTGCTCAAACCACGTGAGATCTGTACAACAGTTCAGGGCCAGGCCGTGGGACGTGATGTGCCTTCCACAGCGGACTCCTGCAAGATAAGCCGAAAGGCTGTTAAGAGGCCACACACTCCCTCCCCGGGCTGCAGGATCCCACTCAGTTTGTCTAGGGAACCGGACTGCATCACTGATTTTCCAACTGTGCCTGGAGCAAGCACCCAAGGGGGTGTGTGCACAGGTCAGAGAGGGGTGCAAAGTGAAGGAAGCAGTGGTATGCTACACTTATTACGGCCATTTCAGAAAATGTCTTCAACACGGAGATTGTTGCTTTAAAAAAATAAAAGTGCCGAAACCAGTTTGGCTCAGTAGATAGAGCGTCAGCCTGTGGATTGAAAAGTCCCGGGTTCGATTCCGGTCAAGGGCATGTACCTTGGTTGAGCGCATATCCCCAGTGGGGAGGTGTGCAAGAGGTAGCTGATCCATGATTCTCTCTCATCGATGTTTCTAACTCTATCCCTCTCTCCTCCTCTGTAAAAAATCAATAAAATATATTTAAAAAAGTAAAAAATAAAGCGTGATAAGTACTTAAGTGCCCTTACTGTCACTGGGCGATTCACTTCTCGAGTCTCTCTCCATTTGGAAAGTTGTACAAGATTAAGGTGACCAGCCGAAACCGGTTTGGCTCAGTGGCTAGAGCGTTGGCCTGCGGACTGAAAGTTCCCAGGTTTGATTCTAGTCCAGGGCATGTACCTTGGTTGCGGGCACATCCCCAGTAAGAGGTGTGCAAGAGGCAGCTGATCAATGACTCTCTCTCATCCATGTTTCTAATTCTCTATCCCTCTCTCTTCCTCTCTGTAAAAAAAATCAATAAAATAGGTTTAAAAAAATTAAGGTGACCAGACGTCCCGATTTTTAACAATTTGTCCCGCCAAAAGCAGGACGTCTGGTCACCTTATACAAGATGACTTCTAATCTAAGGGCCCTTCTGGCTCTGGATACATCAGTAAAGAGGCGTAAAAACTCTTCAGCGAAACTCCAGATACGCCTCCACGGGCCCCGACCCGCCAGGCCCGGCCGGGGACGCTCACCGATGGCGCAGATCTTGCGCTCCCCGAGCCAGACGCCGGTGTAGGGCGGCGGCCGCGCGCAGGCGCCCCGCAGGCCCTGCAGCCCGCACAGGCGCACGGCGCACGCCTCCAGCGCCGCCACGTGGGCGCGCAGGCGCAGGCGCAGGCGCCGCAGGTCGAGCAGCGGGTGGCAGAGCAGCTGGCCGGGGCCGTGGAAGGTGGCCAGGCCGCCGCGGCCCGTGCTGTGCACCTCGGCGCCCAAGGCCCGCAGCCGCGCCGCCTCCTCGGGCGTCAGGCCGCCGCGCAGCCCGGCCGTGTACACGGGCCCCGCGGGCTCGCAGAGCAGGAGCGCGCCCGCCTCCGTCCTCGGCGACGGGTCCTCGGCGCCCGGCTCCGCCTGCAGCCGCTGCAGCCAGCGCTCCTGCAGCGCCAGGAACTCGGAATAGGGCACCCGGCCCAGCCGCACCAGCCGGACGGCGGGGAGCAGCATGGTGCCCGCCGAGCCCGCGCCGCCCCGCCTCTCGCCTGGGGGCGGGGGCGTGCCCGGGGGCGGGGCCTAGGGAGCATGCGAAGCTGCAGCTCCAAAGTGCTGGAACAGGCTCTGGAGAGGCTGTGATCCCAAGATCCAGTAAGGTGTGTGTCTTCCATTCATTCATAACGACATGATATAACAACAAAAACATGATATAAAAACAATAAAAACAACATTGATAAAGACAATGTCTGATAAATTGATTAAACTTATTCTAATGTCTCCCTGTGTACATGCGATTGGCACCAGTGAGAGCTTTATATGTATTGTGCACGTGTGAGTTAATTTTTTTTTTTAAATTGCCAGTGCACGTCATGTGTACCAGCCAGCCGGACGGTCAGTCACTTAGCCTTTTATATATATAGATATGCATAGCCCAGGGACACAGACAAGTGTCTGGCAAAGGTTTGGGAGGGGCAGGGGCAAGGTGGAGGGTATCAATGGGAAAAAAAAACAACAACAACAACACCAAAAACAGAGGTGACATTTATAATATTATCAACAATAAAGAGCCCTCACTGGTTTGGCTCAATGGATAGAATGTCAGCCTGCGAACTAAAGGGTCCCAGGTTCAATTCTAGTCAAGGGCATATACCTTGGTTGCAGGCACATCCCCAGTAGTGGGTGTGCAGGAGGCAGCTGATCAATGTTTCTCTCTCATCAACGTTTCTAAATCTCTATCCCTCTCTCTTCCTCTCTGTAAAAAAAATCAATAATATATATATATATATATATATATATATATATATATATATATATAAAAGTATAAAGGGCTTTTATTATTTGTAACATAGGCACAATTATTTAAAGTTAATAAACTTTCATTTATTTAAGGAATTTCACATGTTCTGAGTTCTTCCATTGCCTTAGTTCCTCTGAGTTTGAGTCTTAATCATCTTACTCCCTTTTTTGCTCAATCCTGATGTCATTTCAGTCAGTCCTACGTAACAGGAATAGAGATTATCATGATCACAAGCTGTATGGTAACTGAAAGGATTTAGCTAGACAAAGGACATCAAGGCCCTAGGCATCTCAGATGGCTATCATCAAATCTCACTGATTACCAACAGCTATTACAAAAACCTCCTATAGCTTACGTTAGATTTATAGTGGACAGTGACCTGGCAATGTAAATTGAGGTTAGTAAAATGTTCCCAGTAGGCTGAATGCTATGCTATCAACATAGAAAAAAAAAACTATTGGGGAAATGTTTTGTGGTCATGTCCACGGCAAATGAGAAACTGCATTCTAAAAGCTTTGGTAATGACCATTTCTCATCGATGTTTCTAACTGTATCCCTCTTCCTTCCTCTCTGTAAAAATTAATATATTTTAAAAACATTTAAGATACATTAAAAAAATTTTAAACAAGTCATCACCAAACTTAAAAAAAAGAGCTGTTTATAGTATTCACTTATTAACCTCTCTTAAAAAAAATTTTTTTTTTATTGATTAAGGTATCACATTTTTGTCCTCAACCCCCATTCCAATCCCCCACCCATCCCCACTCATGCAGCCACCCCCCTATTGTCCTTGACCACTGGTTAGGCTCTTATGTATGCACATAAGTCCTTTGGTTGATCTCTCCTTTTTATCCCCACCCTCCTTCTGAGGTCTAACAGTCTGACCCATGGCTTCTTATCTCTGGGTCTGTTTTGTTCATCAGTCTATATTGTTCATCATTTCCCCTTTATTATCCTCTTGATGTTTACATTGTCTGTAGCAATGTCCTTTTTGTTATTCCTGATGTTGCTTATTTTTTTTATCTCTCCCTCTCTCTGTCTTTTTAAAAAAAATATATATAGAAAAAAACCCCCAGCCTGGGCTGAACCCCCGAACCGGCAGCGCTGAGCCCCCCCGAACCGGCAGCGCTGAGCCCCAGTTATGGGCCAGACCCTGGGGACCCAGGCTCTGGCGGGAGGAGACAGGGCCGTGAGGCGGAAAAACGGCGAAAGGCAGGGCCCCGGGAGTCGCGCGCAATGCGCGCAGAGGACTGAATGTTGACTCTGATGCTGGGTTGCCCTAGCCGGAAGAAAAAAGGCCTCCGGCGGCGCTGAGCCTCAGTCCGGACTGCTCCGAACCCCAGTTCTGGGCCAATCCCTGGGGACCCAGGCTCAGGCAGAGAGAGACGGGGCTGTGAGGTGGAGTCCGGGGAGAGCAGCGAAAGGCCTGGCCCCCGGGACTCGCGCAAACTGCGCGCAGAGGACAGTCTGTGGGACTCGCGCAAACTGCGCGCAGAGGACAGTCTGTTGACACTGATGCTGGACTTCCCTAGCAGGAAGGAGAAAAAAAAAAAGCTCTAGGCTGGGGGAACGCGGAGGGGAGCGGAAGCCCCTGCCGGACTCCAGCCAACCTGGCACCAGTAAGGAGGCAGGCCACGGGGCCCCCCGGGGGCGTGGGTGCCCCTGAGCCTTTGACCACTGAGCTCGGGCAATGGAGCCAAGGCCGGGGGCTGCTTCCTGGGCGGCGCCATCCCGCCAACAGGCTGAAGCAGCACAGGAGCCCGCAGAGAACAAAGGGGTGCCACAGGCCAACCTGCTGAGCTCCCAGGACAAGGAGGAAGAAACCAAAGAAGTTCTCAATGTGAAGAAATCAAGTGAGAGCAAAAAATAGTAAAATTACTTAAGAAAGAATACAAAGAAGATCTTGAAAAATCAAAGACTAAGTCAGAACTCAACTCACCAGCCAACATTGCAACATAAATGCGTTTTAAAAAGAAAAAAAAAAGGACAGAATGTTGGAACAGCGACGGCCAGGCCTAGAGTGGCCAGGCACAAGGCAGTGGCAGCCAGACCCGGAGCAGCAACGGCCAGGCCCCAGAACAACAGCAGCCAGAACCAGAGCATCAACAGCCAGCACTGGAGTAGCCAGACCTGGGGCAGTGGCAGCCAGGCATGAGGCGGAGGCGGCCAAGCCCAGGGTGGCCAGTCCAGGAACACCCAGACCCGGAGTGGCCGGGCCCGAAGAAGCCGGGCCCAGAGCAGCCGGGGTGGGAGCAGCCAGACCCAGAACAGCAGTAGCCAAGCCCAGAGCATCCAGGTCGGGAGTGGCCAGGCTCGGAGCGGCCGGGCCCGGGGCAGCCGGGCCCAGAGCAGCCGGGTCAGGTGCGGCCAGGCCCGGAGCAGCAGCTGCCAGGCTGGGAGCGGCCAGGCCCGGGGGAGCAGGCGGGTCGGGTGCGGCCAGGCCCGGAGCAGCGGCTGCCAGGCTGGGAGCGGCCAGGCCCGGGGGAGCAGGCGGGTCGGGTGCGGCCAGGCCCGGAGCAGCGGCTGCCAGGCTGGGAGCGGCCAGGCCCGGGGGAGCAGGCGGGTCGGGTGCGGCCAGGCCCGGAGCAGCGGCTGCCAGGCTGGGAGCGGCCAGGCCCGGGGGAGCAGGCGGGTCGGGTGCGGCCAGGCCTGGAGCAGCGGCTGCCAGGCTGGGAGCGGCCAGGCCCGGGGAGCTGGCGGGGCTGGTGCGGCCAGGCCCGGAGCAGCGGCTGCCAGGCTGGGAGCGGCCAGGCCCGGGGGAGCAAGCGGGTCGGGTGTGGCCAGGCCCGGAGCAGCGGCTGCCAGGCTGGGAGCGGCCAGGCCCGGAGCAGCAGCAGCCAAGTCCAGAGCAACTAGGTCGGGAGCGGCAGTGACCAGACCCGGAGCAGCTGGTTGTGGAATGAACCAGACCAACAGAGGCCAGGCCCTGAGCAGCCAGGCCCAGAACAGCTCGCTCCTTGCCTGCCCCTGCCCCACGGCTGCTTCTCAGACATGGCTGGAAACTTTCGTGGGAACTTGAGGGTCTGCTGAATCAAGTGATGAAGGCTTAGATCTGGATGTGTTGAGTTAGTTTAGGACTGGGGTGTTGATCTGTGAGTGCCTTGGGTGGGGCCTGGATGAGGCTGGTTGACCTAGTGGGAAATGTCTTTTGTGTGAAGTGTATCATTGGGCATGTGGAGGTATTATTGATATGAGAAAATGCTAAGTAACTGATTTACTATCTGAAAAGGGATTTACTATTGGGGAAATTGAGGGAAGAAGAGACTGAACATAAACTGCACCTATGGATGAGGACAATGGGGGATGGGGGGGGGACAGAGGGTGGGGTGGGAACCTGGTGGAGGGGGGAAGAAATGAGGAACCTTTGTAATAATATGAACAATAAAGATTGATTTAAAAAAAAAAATATATATATATATATTATTGATTTTTTTGCAGAGAGAAAGGTAGAGGGATAGAGAGTTAGAAACATCAATGAGAGAGAAATATTGATCAGCTGCCTCCTTCACACTCCCTACTGGAGATGCCCTTGACGAAATCAAACCCAGGACTCTTCAATCCACAGGCTAATGCTCTATCCACTGAGCCAAATCCATCAGGGCTCTCTCTGTCAGTCTTGCTAGAGGTTTGTCAATTTTTAAAATTTTCTTCAAAGAATCAGTTCTTTGTTTCATTCTTCCTCTTTTAATGTTTTTTAATTTCTGCTCCTATCTTTATTATTTCCTTCCTTCTGCTTGCTTTGAATTTATTTTGTTTTCTTTATCTATGTTTTATAAGTGGCAGCTTAGATAATTGATTTGCAGTATTTCCTCTTTGCTATTGTATATATTTAGTGCCATAAAAATTTCCTGTTCAGTTTGACCTTATCTATATACCACAAAGTTTGATATGTTCTGAGTTTACACTTAATTAATGTATTTTTAATTTCCTTCAAGATTTCCTCTTTGACCCTTGGATTATTTTTAAGTATGTTGTAATTTTTATTTCAAACTGATTTCTAGTTTGAAAATACAGTCTATTTAACTTCGATTCTCTTTAAAAAATTTTTAATGGCTCAGTATATGGTTCATTTTGGTATATGTACTGTGAATACTTTATTTTATTTAATTTATTTTTTTATTGATTTTAGAGAGAAGAAGGGAGAGGGATAGAGAGCTAGAAACATGGATGAGAAACATTGATCAGCTGTCTCCTGCACGCCGTCACTGGGGATCGA